TCTTGTGACAGTCATTATCATGATTTAACAAATGCATAAACATTCTTAGTTAAACAACAAATGAATCACGAACAGAAGAGATTGTTCTGTCCATTAWCTGATTAAGAGAACTGAGGAATTCTCTTCTAGGTTAAAATGACCTGTCATGGCCTAAATAGAGTTCAGTTTGTGACAGAGTTCCTGTTCTCTCGTCAGACCTGTGCGAGGCCTGCTTCGAGGCAGTAAATCTTGTTTCTTCACTCGAGATGACCCCTACACTTGTCTGACAGACTAAAGCTTAAATTTGGTCTCATCAAATCACAGACTACGGGGTCTTCCACGCGCAGTTTGGACAACTTTACTAAAGGTTTAACCTTAGTTTTATGCAACAGTGGCTTTCTCTTTGCCACTCTCCCATAAAGCTCAGACTGGTGAAGAATGTGTCAACAGTTGTTGTAGCACAGTCTCTCATACATAAACCTTAGATTTATGAAGAATCAGATCAACAGTTGCTGTAAATACAGTTTCACATTTAAACATTAGGCTGGTGGAGAATCACGGCAACACGTACACTCTCTTCCTTCTCCCTGTGGAAGCTTGTACCTCTTTTAGAGTGTTCTCAGATGTCTTGATGGTCTCTATTCTCCCTTTTTTGTGGTCACTCAGTTGTGAGRACAACCTGGTAGATTTACACACATTCCCATATTCCTTCCATTTCTCATTGATGTATTTAACAGAACTCCTGGGGATGTTTATGGTCTTGGAAATCCTTTTGTATCCCTCCTGACTTGGACTTTTCAAAAATCTTCTCTTGTTGCTTGAAGTTTCCTTCTGTCTTTGTTGTGTAACATTAGCCAGGAACACTGACCATCGAGACAGGTGTTCTTATACTGGAATCACCTCAGACACCTCCACTGACCCCAGATTATTCCCAATCCACAAACTGTGGGACTACTTGCACTGAGTTACTGGACCTCTGTTGAATTAGATCAGTCACTTTAAGGGTGGATAACTATAAAATCAATTATTTTACATTACATCTTTGTATTAATTTGAATTACTCTGTACAATCAGTTTTCACTTTATAATTAAATGTGTTTTTTTTAGAAAACTATTTGTCAAAAAGGTCAATTTACACTGATTTAAAGAAGCAATAAAAGGGGGTAAATAATGTACATTTCTTGAGAGGCATCATAAATCCAAACACAACAAACTGTTATGATTTGTGTCTGTATTAATGTTTTATTTTAGTTTCTGTCGTCATCTGTTTTCTTCCTCCTGTTTGCCTTTGCTCCAGCTCTGCCCACTCTCACCTGTTCCTCATATTTCTCTCCCAAGTGTTTCCTGTTTTTGCTTGTTAGTCTCACCTTTATATTCTGTGTCTTGTCTTCACTTCCCTGTCTGATCATTTTGCTGTTCACAGCCTGTATGTTTGTTGCCTTGCCTTGCCTTGCCTTGCCTTACCAAGTGAGTTTTTGAGCTGCCCTGTCAGCAATTTTTGTTTAATAAATCTTTATTTTTTTCCTTTTTAAAACTGCCTGCATCATGGGTTCATTCCTGCCTGAGAATCATAACACAAACTGCCAACAAGCTTCTYGCTCGCATTCAATTCATTAATTTAATTTAAGATGAAAATGTATTTTTCATTTTCGACAGGTCGGCAGTAAATTACATTAAACAAAGTGGATATGAAAAAATTATTCTTGTCTTCTAACAGATGGAAAACATAATGAAAAAAAAAAACACAAGCCCATCTGAATCAAAAGGGGGATGTTTGTTTATTTTGCCTCAAGCAGAGAATGACATATTTTTCGAACACCTACAGATTCTGCACCTGTGACATCCAAAATTACACCGCCTCTCAGTTTTCCTATTAGCAACCATGCCTGTTATCCCTCAGAATAGGATAATATCTGATATTGTCTTTTCTTGGCATGGACCAAAGGATTCAGTGTAAAAAAACATTTAAACTGTTTCTTTTCGTTGATTTGCTTCTGTTTATTGAAACTCACTTCCTGACTCTGCATGTTAAAGTTTTTAACAGAGACCTTACTCAATCTTAGCGCTCAGAGTACGTATCGAGGATCATCATCAGCTACTACACTCCAAAATTTAGCTCAGCATCTTTAAAAC